AGTAGTAGTAGTACTAGTAGTAGTAGTAGTAGTAGTAGTAGTAGTAGTAGTACTAGTACTAGTAGTTAGTAGTTAGTAGTTAGTAGTAGTAGTAGTAGTAGTAGTAGTAGTAGTAGTAGTAGTGCTAATACCTGTCCTCTCACCATCTGCGAAGTTCAGGTGTTGTGCAAACTGTGCTTGGCCACCCCGCAGCACGGAAAAAGTGTGATTCCCGGGTCAGCAATCGATGCATCATACTCTACTTTGCCGTGCAACCCTGTGCTCGCCTCTCAGATCCTATAGTCCTATAGATCCTTCAGCCACCAAAAGCTACACTACCAAAAGCTACACTACACCTACCCAGGTAGTCTCAAGCTCAATCAGGACTTCCAACTAACCGGCCAGGGTGCAACAGAATGACAAACAGGAAAAAACCTCGGTTGCTTGCAGTCGGCTTCTGTCAAGAAGGTGGCGAAGACCCTCGTTCAAAGTCATGCTGTCAACGGGCCGCAGAATCCCTGCCCATGTACACAAAGCTGTCTTGGTGAAGCAGGCCTCGTGGCTTAAGTCGATTACTGTGGATGCTGGCGAGTTGACGAACCTCCAGCCCTTTATGCACGGAGAAGCATGTACCTTATGTATAGAAGCATGAAGCTGGCCCGCTTCGGGGACGCCTTATAACACATGATCCTACATGTCAGCATGTCGACTCAGTTTTTCTTTTTGACAACAGCTGAACCACACACTGATGGCATGCTGCGAAACCTATGTAGTTCTACGCCAGCCGTCAATGACGCAAAGCCCTAAAGCTTGGAGCCAAGGCACATGTGAAAACTTCGTTGGTCACGATCAAAAGCAGTTGCTGGGCATCAGCTTCAGCGGGTTCCCGGGACCAGTCGACCAACACGTAGAGCCTCTGATGGAACATGAAGTAGTATGCAAGAGTTACGTACAGGACAGAAGGAAAACATAAGGACAGAAAGAAAACACAGGGGTCTGTTATCAGTTACCAACCCACGCATGATGCAAGGCACCCCCAGCAGCCGAAATCGTCTTGACATGTGGGAACTGCCCGAAGCCAACGCGTGTTTGGGTTCAGAATTCGGAACAGATTAGGCCCAAAGTCATCGTTTGACAGGCTGGGTATAAAGGGGACAACACGAGATGAGCTCGAAAAGTCGTCATAGACCACAGGTTACTTGATGTTAAAACCAACCACACGGCAAGCGACGTACTACGGTAGTGCGAACTGCCCCACAGCCCCAGTAAACCACTGTATGCGAACTCTAGAAACGAAGCATGAGATATCTTCTGCAGTCAGGCGGCGGCATGCAAAGGGCCCGCGTCCAAATCGCGAAAATCGGATCTGCGGAAAGGAAGCACATCATGACATTGCCAAGCACCTTTCGCAGGAGATATGTACAAAATTGTACAAATCCTACTGAAGCTCGGTACAATGCCAAGCTCTACAGAGTAGCTCTCGAATCTGTGTGGCAGTTGTAGAACTCAGCCTCAACCAAGTATAGGGCTGAACCCTCAACCTTTGAAGGGGCTTGCAGGCACCACCATTGGAGTCAGCGTCTTGGGCAGGTCCATGCGCGCGATTACCTGAATGCAACAAGAAACGGTTGGGTTTTTGATACATACATCACATTTCCACTGCCGACTTTTACAATCACGAGCATTGTCGAGACCCAGGAGACTCTCTGCGTACTTGGGAAGTTCGGAATTCCAGCAGGTACGACACTTAAGGTGTTCTTGTCGTCATTCCTACCTTTCACCCCTAAACCCTGCGACCCTAAACCCCNNAAACCCCTAAACCCTAAACCAGTAAGTCTCTGCTCCGAGAAAGTGTTTCGTGCTGCAGACACTGACCTGACATCAACAACGCCGTGAAGGCTGAACACCAAAACCCTCTATAAACCCTAAACCCCT